TTTGATATGTTAATTAGGCCTTATTTGATCTCTAGATCGGTGTTTTCCTAATTCTTTCGAGTATTCACTTTGACGTTTCTTTCTATGTCTTTATTATATATTCATATTATATACTGAATTGATAATGAACTACCTGTAATTTGTTGCTCCTTTAATTGCGAATAGCCACCGCATTTTACTCTTCCACTTTCCTGAGGTTGCATACAAATACCACCGTATGCATACGAGAAAACTTCGTCAGAATTGCATTTGTGAACAATTTGACGAAATTCAAGGCGACGTTTGTTCTCAATTTTCACGCATTCGTAATATGTTCGGCAATCATTTTCATCAGCATAGAGACCGGGTTTTGTACATTTAAATCGACGATGAGAATATTGAGATTGTTGAGAAATTCCATGCCACGTTTCGGAGTCATTGTAATTATGTGTTTCTGTAAAATAACGATTGAAATTTACAGTAAAGTAGAAAGAAAGAGAGATTTTATTCATTATTCCATTTAATATATTAATTAAAATAATACACATGTCCATTAAAATTAAACTATATTATAAAAAATATATTTTGTTTTATAATATTAGTGATAATATATAACTTGTAAATGTATGTACACACACACACACACACACATACATTTACATATGTGTATAATATTTTTGGATAAATAATTATTTAGTTCAGAGCAAAATATAAGAACTAATTTTTACGTTAAGTAATTTAGATTAATTATTATTAATATTTGTATTTATTTTTTTCAAAAAATTATCAAAAAATTTAATTCTTACCATTCTCAATTTTGTAAAGTTTTTGTCGATAGTTTAAGTCATTCTCTGAGCTAAATTCACCATGAGAAAGAGTTAAAAATGCAATTAAAAAACAGATTATTTTTTGCATTGTATTTAGTTCATCTGCAAATTAAAAAAATTTATGAAATTATTTTTTATATTGCTTTATTAATATATATTGCTTTTTATGTTGTGAGAACAAAATATTAATCTACAATGAATATTTTTTCAAAAAATTGAACATATATTAATTTCTACAAAAATCTTATCGTGCAAATATTGTGAAAATAATTCATGTTAAATTATTAAGAACTTTTTTAATCATTACAGTCAAAAAATTACGATTAAAAATTTATTTGGAAAAGAATTATAAAAATTGAAATTTATTAAAAAAAAAGAATTATCAAAGATGCAGGAATTCTGCTTATCTCGCTGACAAGTTTTTAACAATCATATAACAACGAAATAATTCACACACTTTAAAAGTTCACAAAATTGTGAAAAATTTTTAAAGTGCGACTTGCGTATATATTGAGTTTTAATATATATGTTGTTGATATGAAGTCGCATGTGCATAATGTTGATAAATCGATAAAATATCGATCGATTTCCAATCGAATACATTTTTTGAAAGCAAATTCTATGTATTTAGTTCTATGTATTCAGTTAACAAACGTATAATTAAGATTTGCAATTGCGAATGTTTGTGACGGATTTTTATACATATCTTAACAGATAATTCTGATATTATAATCCGACAAATAAAATATCCTAAATATCTGCAATTAAGATAACGGAGAACAATATTAACGCGATAGATGTTTATAAGATAAAATATCATTTTCATAAAATAAAGGAAGAAGCAATAATAGAAAAAAGGCATTGCATTTTAAATGTATTTATTACCGGTCTACTTTCAGACTACAATTAACAGTATCTGTTTATTTTGTTAAGAGTACATTTGTGGTAAAATAAGGAATTTATAAGTAAATTTTGACACAATAAATGCTCGACCGCAGAAAAATCAGCTTCAGTGTCATTCACCACTTGTCTCAATATTAACTTTTGCTATAATAAATATGTACAAAGCATACAGCAAGCAAATGCAAATATTTGATCTTAGATGTTCGTATCTTTTAACAGAAAAACTTCATCTCATGATATACAAGGAATATCCGCAAAATTAGAATATATAGCGCTCCAATTACATTATATCTATTCAAATATCTTAGATATTTGACTTATTCAATTATATCTTCGGGCAATGTTGGGACGAATCCGTTTGATAAGAAGAATGATGCTTTTTTGATTCATTTGTTCAAGTTTTGACAATCCAAGATCCTCTGCGCTTCAATCTATAATAATAACATAATTACGAAATATCAATGGATATCTATTATACATATTAACAATCGCGTTTCAATAAATGTTTGTCATAATATTTATAATAAAAATAAGAGAAGAAATATTATACTTTCGATCTATATGTGTGTGTATGTGTAGAGAGATTTATATGATTTATTATTAATAATACATAATAACAACTATAAATCTGTCAGAATAAAAACGTGTATAAATAAAAAATATACATACAAAATCAATCACATTTTTATATTTTTACGGTTTATATAAAATTTTCGAATCAATCTCACATCTTCGTATATACATACCTGAATGAACGTATATAATTTTAACAATTGTTCCAATGATGCGCTTTGCGACGAACAATCCGTACTACTTGATCTAATCCGCATGTCTTGACTCCTTTTACCTTGGTTCCATCCGGGAGAAAAATTTAACTGAGCTTCACCATCCGAAATGAGGATTAAGAAAAGAAATACTATAGCGAACAAACTCACTGGCATCTTACAAAACCTTGAAAAGAAAAAAAATCAAAATGATTGTTCAATCAATTTACAAGATTTTGCACACATAATGACGTATAATTTTCGATAAAATAAAAAAAAAATAATAGACTACAATTTATCAATTTATTAATTATTGTTTCACACTTGTTGTCTGTTTGCATACTGAACAAACTATTAATTTGCATAATATCAGTATTGAGAACAAGTTTGAAATATAATGAAATAAAAGGAACAAATAATCACACTGCATACACACAAGAAATGAAAAAAAGGACTCACATGATAACACTTTTGTTATAAATAAATGTATAAGAATGATCTATTTTTCGCGAGACAATCTGTCAAGATGTGCAAAAGATTTCGTTTACGAGAGATCTAAGATGCGGTTGCTGTTTTTATACATTGCTGACCTCTTACTTTAACGCGCGCGCATTACAACATCCCTTATTCAATCACTATCCCAGAGAAATAATGAAAGCTTTGCGTCGGCGTTGAATCTTTTGTTCTGCAACAGTCTCGTTCAGGGTTTTGTCTTTTGCATGACTTTAAATAATATGGGAATTGGGGAATTCAAAGAAATATAATATATATTTAGAAATAATTATCAATATAATATGTCTTTACAATTTTTAATTACGGTCTTATCGTTCCAAAGATCATCATCAGCTATTTTTAAACGCAATCGTATTTGATATATTTGACAAACTGCGTCACAGATGAAATTGCAAATTATACCACCATATGTTGAAAGAAGATGAATGATGAATATTCATTTGCTATAAAGAGAAGTGACATTTAAATGTGGAATTATATAATCTTCTATATATTACTTTTCAGTGATCTTCTTATGTATAATTAGAAGAGAATTAGTATTCTATATGAAAAATTAAGAAAATCGAAGAATATGATTTGGTAGAATAACATTTTTTATATTATATAATGCTTTCCGAACCGGAAATCAATTATTGAAAATTTTATATCTATTATTTTGTATCTATTGTTTCGCGATATTTTTGTTCTCTTCATTAAATGGATCAATTATGAATAAATTAAATTGTTTAATATTTTTTAAATTCTTTTTTTAAATAGAAGCAATATAAAATATTTTCTAAAATATATAAATGTAGTATAAATGTATACAAAAAAGTGAATTTACTTAGAATTTAATTAGATTATCACAAATTTGATTTGCATGCATTTGCAATAATTAATTTATTAGCCGGGTTATATAATAAAAAATTTAATATTTATTTTAAAATTATTTTTATAGTTATAGCCAAATTTTTTGCTAATACACATACAATTAACATACATATATACTTTAGTAAAATATATAAGCTAATATATTTACACTTCATCATGTATAATTAAAAGTACATATAACTATGAGAAAATTAAATGACATAATTTTTTTATCTAAGTTAAAATGACTTGAAATTCAAGAATTCATGTTAATTATTAATTTCTCATTTTTTCACTTCATGAGAGAAGTCGTCGTGGCAACAGTTAAGACAATTTTTACTTGCACCTGTATAAATAAAGGAAAAAAATCAAATTAAATATGTAACATTTTAATTTTATACGTAACGTTTTAATTTGACAATAAAAAAGGAAAAAAGAATAAGACATAGCGATACAGATCTTTTGGTGTAATTATATACGAAGACAATTAATTATTTTATTTTAATACATTATTTATTATATACGTAAATAGTATCATTGAAGTGAATTATGTCCGGAAAATTAAACTTTATATTGCATCATCTATGACATATATTGCCAAATGAAATTGACGCGTGCGACCGTGACACTTAAAGGCTTCTAAAACTAATTTGCTGACGAGAGTCATAGCTGCATGTGAAGCCTCATAGATTATTTCATCAATCAGTTATATATATATATATATATATATATATATATATATGTGTGTGTGTATGTTAAATTTTATTTATAGTATATTAAATTTTCGTGACAATCATAGTAAAATATCGTAATTAAGGAATTATTTCTTCAAAATATTTTTTCTGCAACTGTATGACCCAATTAAGCTCACTTTAGACGATTTAATTTGCGACAAAATTCGGAATAGAGTTCTATTATCTTTTTTAATCTTTAATACAGAAAATATTTTTGAAAGAGAAAAAAAACATATAACATATATTTTATAAAATATGTATACAGGACACATATATGTATATTAGAAAATATGTATACAGGACACATATATGTATATTAGAAAATATATATATGGAACATAAAATTATAAATACAATTCTTAAATTTTGTCGCGAAAAGTGATAAATCATTTCAAATAGATATTGGAAATAGAAAAAAAGAGCAAGGCATATATATTCGAATTTCACTTTATTGCTACAAAAAAGAAATTACACATAACGTTTTCGTGCTAAGGGTGGATCGAAGATAAATGATAATGGTGCGCTCATATGCGTTGCCGTCGATTATCACATATTAAATGGTTTCTTCGTAATAGTTCTTATTTTTCTAGATAATGTACAAGCCTGTGTATACACGCGCGCATTATATTTTTGCGTGTGTATATATATATATATTTTCGTATCTCTATAATTATTTACGTCTTTTTACAATAAGTTTTTATTAAAGTGCAGAATAGTACCTGATTAAGATTTAATTATTAAAATCGCGCGTCAAAGAATCCATGATCTTCTTTCTATCACTTAAAGGCAGTGTTTAAGTAAACATTTATCAACAGCGAATTCTTCATATTTTACTACCTATTGTTTGTGTCTGTACAAATAATATAAATGACGATATATAGGCATATGAAACTTGAAGAGTAACGCGATTCTTTTTTACAAAGTTATTTGTTGCAAAGTGACAATTATTACAAATTTGATTAACATGTGGGCAAGTTTTTTTGAGAGGATTTTTTAATAAGGTAAATAAATAAAAAAATATTTTTATGAAGAAAAAAGTTATAAAACGTTTATGCTTCACTGTTTATGCGTAATGAGCTAATTTCATAAAATAATAGAGAAGAGTCGAGCAATATTTATCGTAAGTTGTTGTATGACGGATTAGCCTATTACATTATACACATTAATTTTATATTATCTTTATCATACAAATTTTTTTTATTTAAATAACATTTTGTCGCAACGCTTGCTTTCAAATATTGCCTTAATGAAAAAAGTGACACAATGCATGAAAGTTAAATTTTAATAATAAAATCTCTTTTTCTCTCTCTAGAAATTACTAAATTACAAGTTTGTTATATTGTTCTATCCATTTTTGTCCTAATCGTTGTTCAATGGCAAGCGCCTAAGTAGCTTCATAAACATTTACGAAAGAAGAACATTTAAAATCTGCTCCTCAATTCTCTTGAGATCACATACATCCATCTAAGTTATATTCCTTATCATATACGCGTTGGATCTCTCGATATGTATTAAAAATGCGCGGTACGTTGAGATTCTTTTTTAACAAGTGATTACAAAAAGCAAATGTTATCCGTGCTATTTTTGATACTTCTTAACACATGATAAAATTATGACATTTTCAAACTTTTATACATAAAATATGCAAGGATCAATTTGTGATACTTTATGTACAAAAACATATCACTGAATTATTATTGTTATTATTACTGTTTCTTATGAGAAAAACAGATAAACTAATGCAAATTTGTTGAATATATATGTATAATAATTATATATTTACAGATTTTATTGCCATAATTTTGAATTTCTCAGAATTTGAGGACATTAAAGTATTCTCGTTTTTTTACTATTATGACAAGTATCAAAATATAATAGGTTTCTACAATTATTTCTTCATTAATAATATAAGTCATATAAAACTTGATGAATCTTATAAGAGCATCAAAATAAGTAATTTAAAACATGTCTAATGTTTCAACGTAACCACGCGCAGACAATACATATGTTTTAATAGCTTTATCGTGTACAATAGGCTTAAAAATAAGAGCATTTATAAATGATATACATGTAAATGCTTATCAATCGAATGAAGATATAATTATAAAAATGATAATGGATTAATAATATGAAACAGTGAATAGTTAACAAAGGACACGAACAATTATTTTCGTGATAAAATTATAATTATCTCGAAATTATTTGCGCATTGCTATAAAAAGTGATCTTACTAATAGAAATTATTCCGCGAAACGAGGAGAAAGATCAATATTCAAAGCGCTCTATGGCACTCGATCTTGATGCATCGATTCTTCTTTGTTCTACATTCGGTCGCAATGTGTAGAATACTCACAATATACTCTGTTGCTTCTTATAATCCTATCGGCGAAACAATATTACGGACAAATCTGCGATAAGAATAGAATTTTTTTCGATTTTCACGAGAAATATACGTATATAAAGGGTATATGTATCTATATTTATATATACTTGCATCTTGCAACACATATCGAATGTAACAATACGCACGTAATATTGTACGTACGTGTGTATTTATCTGATAATATCGATACGCATACACTCATGGCATTTTATATCATATACACTTTTTCTTCTTACTTTCACTCACATACATTATAATTATTAAAATACTATATCAATTAAATATAGAAGAATGACGCTTTAGGTATCTCTCATCCTCTTTCATTCTTTTATTCACGCACTGCTCTTTTTTTATTCTCATAGAATTATCCTCGGCTAATCTTCTCTTAAAATTATCTCATTGATCGCTGACATTATGTATCATTTTTCTTTCACATCTGTATATATATATCTCTTTCTTTATATATATATATATATATATATATTTATTTATATAAGGTATGTATAAAAAATAGTCTGGAAACTCCCTTTGTAACTTGAAGATTGCCAAACTCAAGAACACACATCGGTAATCGACAAAACTTACTATCTCATTATAATAGACCATTAGTTACAAAACTACAATGTATATTATTGACATTTTATAAACTGGCATTACCCAACTATATCCTTCGTTGCTGGAATGCACGTAAGTTTAAAAGCTAATGATACACGTACAGAGGCGAATGGTTGTCTCTTGAATCTGGCAGTCAATTTTTGCAGCTTTACGAAGTTACTCAGGTTTTCCTAGACGGCGAGTTATAAAGTCAGTCATATAGCATTTCACCGCTATTATAATACGCAACGTTAAAAAAAATATTAACTAAATAGACAGTAGCTCTCTTTCTCTCATCTAAATTCAATGAATGAACAATTAAAACATGTGCTTAATACTTCGTTAACTTTTTATATATTGAAAAGGAAAAATATGGTGTATATATATATCATGTCAATCAATTATTATGTAGAAAAGTCTTTGATTTAATGTTGGAAGTCAGAATATAAAAAAATAAAAAAGTAAAAAAAAAAAGGAAATAAATCTATGTCAATATTATTAGCCCATTAAGTCTTTTTATCTTAAAAGCATAAACAAAATTTGTAATAAGTTTTCTGAAATCATTTTTATACATCATTTACCAATTATGATTAATAAATGATTTTGATAATCGACAAAGTATTAAGCCGTCTATATAATACAATACTTATATATTAGCCGCAGATTATCTTTTTATACTCTTAACCCATGTATAGAACATCGCTTATTATAATTTCTCAAAATACAATATGTCATAATTATACTCGTAATTATGTATAATTACGTAGAAAAAAGAAAGATCGCCTATGCATGGAAATGTAGATTGTCCAACAACTCGTCAAACAACGAGAATACAATAATCCAGAATCCTTATTTTTAATGTTCATATTCGTGCAACGTACAGTGAACGCACTATTCTCTCTCTTGTCCCACTTATTACACATATATCACCTCTAGTGTAAAATTATTAACGTAAACTCGCGCTAAGGTTGTTTTTATCGACGCAATATAAAAATTCATCTTAAGAATCAGTATATGAGATACGCATCACTTTTCCGAATAAACGGAATTTATATATAGCGTCCATATAGTCACTCGCAAATTGTAAAGTTTATTCCGTCTATTAAATAAATCACGCTTATACGTAATTACACATCGCATCGGCATTGCGTATTAATAACGTTCTTCGTCTCTTTTGTTTTTAATAGAGCAACCGATGAATGATGACCATGCGTATCGTTTAAGTACAGTTTAAGCCTTATTCTTTGACCGTTGTTAGAGGCCTGAGACGGTGGAAATGCATAGATCTATGTAATACAAATTCTCTGGGGCATGTATACTCATTTATTACATAGACCACACTTGCTGGAGCGAATCTGTAAATTATATATACATTTCTTAGCAATATAATAATAAATAATAATCACATTTACGTAAATATCGTGTACAGGGTATTCTAAAAGTCCTGCAACAGTTACATCTCGAACTAAAGGCTTTTTGAGAAAAATGTTTCAAATAAAAGTTGTAGGACTTTAAGTGGCGTATTAAGTAATATTAGTGTGATTATAAATAGCATTGTTTTAACACGTAAAATTCACTTTGAAATTGTTAACTAAAAACCCTTATTTTTTATTACATATTCATGTAGCTTATCTTAAGAGATTTTTAAGAGTGTTATGAAGAGTTCTCGAGGTAAGCTACAACAAGAATATACAATCAAAGATAAGGGTTTTCATTAAAAAATTTCAAAATAAATTTTACATGGCCTTAATAATGCTATTTATAATCACACTAAGATTACTATTTAATGTCACTTAAAACCCTACAACTTTTATTTGAAACATTTTTCTCAAAAAACCTTTTTTCGAAATATTGGACCGTTGCAGGACTTTTGGGACACTGTATATTACAGAACTATACATTTAAAGATTATCCAAATAATTATGTTACCTGCGTTAAAATTGTATATCTACGAAGTTCTCAATTAATAAAACTCAACACCAGCTTTCGCTCTCTCGTTCACCGACTCCGTCACTTTCCTCATCACTTGGATCCTCACCATACATGTCTGCCAATTTTCTGAATCTTGGTCCAAAATTAGATAAATAGTTGAATTTGAGATCTCCATCGTCGGTGCCTATAAATGAGAAACAGAAAACATAAAAAGTTGAAGAACGTGAAAAATATCTCTTATTCAAATATCACATATTGTATTTAAAAATACTAACAGGACGCTAGCGATGATAGATCGCCTTCCGAATTACCCTCTCCCTCGTAAGCATAATGTCTTACGTCGTCGAACGGATTTGTATCGGGATCTTTATCGCAGCTTTCTTTCTTTCCGTCTAGAAAACCACAAATGTCTGGAACTTCATCGGTTCCTTTAAACAAACATAGAATTCTTTTAGTTTTTGTACAACTTGTGATCTACATGTAAGCAGCACATTGTATAGTAATATCCGTAATTTTTTCTACCTCTACCCTGTAGGCCGATTGGAGCTATCTTAGAATCGATAGGCGGTGCATCGTAAATGGCTCTTAACACATTCAAGTCAAATGCGGTGTCAACTTCACCGCCTCCTTCGTCCTCGTAATTAATAATGTTTTCCCTAATATCATCCATATCCTTGTACAAATCGTCCGTCTTTCTTCTATGCACTACTACCGCAACGAGTAGTATTAACAATATCAATACGCAAACTAATATGGCTACTATAAAATTCGTGTCGATTCCGAATGAGATGGCTTTTGCCATACCGTGATTGCAACCGGGATCTGCATTTCTCGACAACGACGGCATACCTAAGTTGTACGTCTGAAACGAACGAACATAGTGAGAGAAATAAAATTTAATTAATTTTTTTAATCTCTTTTTCTTCGTTATCTTTTTTCTTTCTCACTTACATTTCCATTGAATGTCATGTTGCGTATGCAGCCAACGAATCCTTTATCAGTTGGTTGATGATCCCAGCCTAAATTTGACGCCAAGTGTGCCAAATTAGTTAATGTACCTCCTACTTGCATAGGACTATTAACGTTTAAAAATTCATTGGTTCCCTGCGGTGCAGTGAGACTCATACAAGCGGATATACCGCAATTATCAACTCGCATCTCCATCGACTGGAAGAAAAAATCAAGTAAGATGAGATAATTGCATTTATTCAGTTTTCAGAGTAAAACAATAATAACATAACGAAAATTCTTACAGTTTTCGTATAGTAAATATCTATTCGGTGATTCTTGCCGTCCGTCAATTTGATTTGTTTGTGATCTAATCTCACAGTTCCCGTTCCATAATCGATATACAACACGGCGTAGCCTTGCTGAAGTTCTAGAGCCATAAAATCTCGAAGTCCCAGTTTAGGACTAAAAGTCATAGGACCAAAGTAAAAAACAAGGCCATTATCCACATGTGGTGTTATTTCCAATCCTGTAATAAATTCATTTATATAGCAGCGGGTAATAAAAATAACGTATAATAAACACAAAGTATCAGCGGAGTGTCTATTCAATAAAATAATTTATTATAAACGTCTCAAGGAATACTAATTTATTTAAATTTTGCTTAAAAAAATTTGAATATTTTCCATGAAAATATGATATTTTGATACTAAAAAGAGATCATCAATAAAATCACATGAGATTTGAATAAAAATTTAAATATTGTAAAGATATGTTAATTAAGCGGTAAATAAGAATAAAATTATCAGGCATAATTTTCGAAAAAAATTCTCTGAATTTCAATGAGAATTTTCGGACTTTCTTGATTAAGAAACCCTACCTATATGCGATTCATCGCAGGCTTGATCAGGTGGTGGCATTATAGCCCAGCCATCTCCGTGAAAGCCGATTCCCAACAGTTCGCATCTCGGTCCTTCCAGACCAGGTGGACACTCGCATCGTTCTGCCAGAGGAGTGCCGCCATTTAAGCAAACGATAGGTTCTGCTACAGTGCAAGTGCATAGCGGATCGACAATCGCTCTAACACCAACGAACGAGCTGGTATTAGTGTATACGGAATACGGAATAGTACTGACGTTTAAGAAACTGCGGCATGAACTGTTGCAGTAGGCCTTCTCAAACAAGCACTCGTCGATGTTCACCAATAAAATGTCCGCTTTCATTTCCCGTTCAATCTGTTTCGAATGTTGCGCTATAATCGTGTTCAGCTTTTCAGGGGCGTAATACGGACTGCCGTGTGCCGAGAATCGGACATCTAACAAACTTCTATTGTTGTGATGAGGCGAATGAAGGACCGCAAATACGTCGACATTTTCAACCGATGTGTTTAACATAGTGGCTAGCTTCTCTTGAAAGATTTCCTTCTTACTAACTCCGGACTCGTCCGGTTCCACAAACTGTTCCGCGGTTATTCCATAAAATCGTACGGAACCAGATCTGTCCACGGCCTCCTCCGGAAGCTCTTTAACAGTGACGTTCACATACGCATGTACTTGGTGAGTTTTAATAAGATGGCCTTTCTCAGTGACGATAAACTTCAATACAAAGGTATCGTTTGTTGTACCCGACAGCAAGGTGATCATTCCGGTATTGACATCTAGATGGAATCCATCATGATGGGAAGCCCAATCGAAAGATTTATCTGGCAAGTCCCAATCATCCAGGTCGTTAACGTAAACGCGTCCAATTTCCGTATCAGGAGCTTCTCCCTTGTAATTATACACAAATATAGAACTCGAGCCCTCCTGCATGGGATTGTCATTTTCATCGCCTATGATGACGGTGAGAGTCGAGGTTCCCGTCATAGGTGGCATTCCGCTGTCGGTGATCGCGATCGGTATGTTGTAGCTCTTCCTCTCTTCGCGATCGAACTCGACTCGCGCGTACAGATTAGTTTCACGAATGTCGAACTTGGATTTGATTTCATCGTCCGCATTGTTGTCGATTCGAAATTCGAACGGCGGACCATTTTCATCAGAATCGTAATCCCGCGCCTTGAGCTCGGTTATCTTGCCTGGCGGCTTGTTTTCGTTCCAGATCACGGGATACGGCATATCGAGAAACGGTGCGTTATCGTTTATGTCTATCAGAGTGATGTTGACCATTACTGTCTCGCGTAGAGCCGAAAGCGCCCCGTCTTCGTCTCTTGCCATTATAAGCACCTGAGAATGTAAAAACAAAATCACAAATTAAGTTTATATGATATAAAGATATCATATTAAAAAAAAAAATAAATAAATAAATATTTATACTCCAACTTACGGTCCACATTGAATAACCATTCGGTGGGTCCCGATCCAATGGCTTCTTCAGCTTCAAACAGCCAGTTTTGTCAATTTCTATGAAGGCTTGCTGTTCATCTTTGACGAGGAAGTAGGCGATATGCTGATCGGCATTCCTATCTTCGATATCAGGATCGTGGGCCGCCAGAGTGGTGATGCATCCTAATTAAACAATAAGAGAGCATGCAAGTTTGTGTTAAAATTAATTTTTTTCTAATTACTAAAAATTACTGTGTACTGCCATCTTACCGTCTACCAATTTTTCTTCTTCTATCGTTGGATTTTTGTTAAAGTCTTCGAAGACTGGTGGATTATCGTTAATGTTTTCAATAAAAATCTCAACCTGGGCGGTATCGTTAAATACACCATCGAACGCTCTTACTGTCAAATTGTACTTGGTAATTTTTTCATAATCGAGCCTCGATTGGACGCGAATCTTGCCCGTTGTAGCTTCGATGTAGAAGCTATTACCAGTATTGCCCGATATGATGCTGTAAGTGACGGGGCTGGCTGTATCGGAATCGACAGCCTTGACTTCGGTCACGGGCGCATTGACGTTTGCATTTTCGTAAATCGAATTATGGGTGTAAACTTTTTGCGTGAAACGAGGTGGATTGTCATTCTTATCGGCGATTTCGATTCGAAACACCTGTTGCCCTTTATTGTGCTCTCCGGTCTTGAACAAAGCGCTCGGAGAATTATCCGTGGCTATAACTTTGACGTTGTACGTGTCCTCGACCTCTCTGTCGAACGTCGTCAAAGTCGTGATGTTACCAGTTTGCGGATCGATCGCGAAGAGATCCTTAAAGTTGTCCAACTCGTAACTAACCTTTTGAGAAAAATCAAATCGAGGTGTCGTATTAATAATAATAATAATAATAATAATCACGTAGATACAATATTTTTAACATAATCGTGCAATGAAAATTTTCTTACAATACAAAAAAAATCATATTAGGTAATATCAATACCTGATTATTAGCAGAAGTACCATCAGCATCGATGGCTCGCACCTGCATTACAGTAACTCCTCGAGGCTCGTTTTCTAACACGCTTCCTTTCTTGATATCACGAAAAACTGGAATATTGTCATTTACATCGAGAACTTCGATGTCGACCACCGTTTCGGCGGCTAACTGATATTTATTTTGTACTCGTATTATTAACGAATACTGCGTGTTACTTTCATAATCCAGATGTTGAGAGATTTTGATATCCGCTGTGTCCTTATTGGATTCTAATCTGTTTATATATACAGACACATACACATTATCATAAGAACGATAGATAAAATTGCATAGAATGCAAATGTATAAAATATGCACAGTAGGAAAATTTGTGTTTTCTTGTTAAAAACGGTCCCTGTTAAAATTTTTGTGTTAATTTAACATATTATTGTTGTGTTCATTGAACTTAAATGTTAAATTATTAAAACAATTAAAAAAATATGTAAAAATAACACAATGTGCATCTATTTTTAATTTTACACAATAAATTCTGTTTTATTATTGACAATATTTATCTGTTAAAATTTACAGGAAAAAATGTTGATTTTTCCTGTATTTTACATTTTATAATATAAGTGGGGACGATAAAATCTAAAATTAATATATTTTTAGTTAATTTTTACATTACAACTATGTTAGTTTTACACAAAATTTATTTTAAATTATTTGAAGTTTTGCATTTATTTTGTGTTAAAATATTAACACAGTATTTGTGTCTCCATTTAACATATCCATATTATGTTAAATTAACATCAAAATTTCTGTGAACTGTTTGGGACATGTGATATCTGTTAAATTTAACACAAATTTTTTAATTGTGTTTTATTATGTAAATGCGATATAAATAATTGATCTAAACATACCTAAAAGTGTTCATTTTGTTAGTCTGTTCCGTTCTACCGGTGACAAGCTCGAAGAGCAGGTACGAATTGTCCGAATTGCTGGAGTTATCAATGTTGGAAATTGCTTTTAAACGGACAATACTATTTTCGAAATCGCTAAAATTCTCCTTAAGTTTAATTGGTTCCGCTGGCCTTGGTAAAAAAGTTGGCGCCTTCTTATGTGATTCCACAACCCGTATGTCAAGATCGATGACATTCATGTTTGGGTTTTCGCCAATATCCTCGGCGGTGGCTATCATACTGAATTTATAATCTGGATTCCGCTGCACAAAATTTCATAATGAACGTAATATAGGAGATTTATGTAATCTGTTAAATTAAGCTTCGAAAACTCAAGCTCTCTCTTTATTCTCGTCTTGATTTAAAATAAGTAGTTCAATTGCGTTGCATTATTTATTACGGGCTTTCATAAGTGACGGGCGCGTAAAATTTTTAGTAAACATAAAAAAAATAAAGTTTTCTTCCGATAATTCAACGGACAACTTTGTTTTGGACGCTTTCTACTCGCGTACAAAATGTTGTGAAAAATAATATTTCCAAAACCACTAATCTTACGTGAAATGGATTTCTAAATCAGCTGTTTTTTTTCATATATTGTAACTTGTGAATAAACTGCTGAATAAAAGGTGTAATAGCCTCAAAACTAAATAATGAACAGTTACTGAGCTACAGCTGGTCAATCAATTTCCAAAATTAGAGTTTTTGGTATTTGCATTAACTATAAATCAGTAATCTGTCTATTATTAGCTTTGAGTCTATTACATTTTTTGTTCATAGTTTTACATAAAATTAGTGCGATGCTTTATGTACATAATTTACATAATAGAGCTTACTAATGCTGAATAATGCGGAAATTCACGGACAAGGATAAAGAAATATTACTTCCAATCTTAACTATCAAGAAAATGTTGCAAGTGTTCTATTTTTCAAGAGATCATTATGAAACAAAGTAGCGTAAACCCTCTTAACATCGTGTTCCTCCTCTTTTTCTCCATCCTATTACTTACGTCTATAACTTTGTTGAGGAATATGACACCGCTCTCGCGGTCGATCCGAAAGTACACAGCATCATCCTGTCTCTTAGACGACAGACTATATCGCACAACAGAATTATTGCCGTCATCGATATCGGTAGCGGAGACTCTCATGACCTCACGGCCGACTGGTAAATCTTGTGGCACGGATTCCGTATACGCCTGTGTGAAACGAGTGCAACATTCAGAACATTAAACGAGAAACGATTATCACACATACACAACAACACATGCGAGGTGTATAACGAGATAATTTCTAAAACGTCATTTATATAGCGTAATGTATTACGTGCAGTTTTCGTATAAATCATGCTTACGGTGCGTTATCATTCCTAAAACATTTTCAGTACATGCATCATGATAATTTCTTTAACACGAAAAGAGAAATGATAAAAAAAATGTTAGTTCATCATATTAATTGCGGTGATCGTAAAAATATCGTTTTAGAAGCTCGGCGGATAAAATTCCAACATTCAATATATAAAAATAATAGTTCGTTCCGTGAAAAAGAAAAAAAATATAAACTGTATGTAAAAAGGAGACAAAATTTGTAAAATATTTTTTTTCATTCATCTCGCATATCGAGCAACGTTTACACCGCAAATTTAAAACCAACCTTCCATACGTATCCACGGAAGACCTGGGATTGAAGTAAAAAAAAAAATTCAAGCAGAAAATGTTAGTAGCAGTAGTGGAGTAGTTAGTCTATGAAAGAAGGAAATTTATAAATATATATACATGAAAATCTCTCTTTCATCCCTTTATCATAGTAATTCGCGATATAACTAAAACTAAAATATTTTCAAAAGTATTTTATTTTGGAAATTTTAGTAATTTATTTTAGAAATATAGATAAAATATAGAAAATGTACTATTATATGAGAATATTATACATTTAAAAACTCATATCTTTTTTTCTGTAAAATTATTTTATTAATAGATAATGTCTGAATTGAAAGAAATTATTGTGAAAAATCCAAATTTTTCATATTTTTATATGAAACGAAAAAGACGCGATGATAGATTTTTCCAATTTTTATGACCCTGGTACGATTATGAATATCCGTGGACGCGTGCATTACGTGTGTATATGTTCGTACCACATGCACCCAGCTTCCTTTGTAAATACGAATCGTAAGGGAGTTAACAAGTTGGTAACTTTAGATAGTTAGAAACGTACCACTTTGTCAAAGACGGGCGAATTATCATTGACGTCCTCGATGGTGACTTTAAATGTGCATACGTCATCCAGCTGCGGCCTTCCATTGTCAGTCGCGAGCACTGTGAGATAAGCTTCCTTTTCCCTGGCGGGTTCATCCCTGTCCAGCATCTGGGTCGTCTTGATGAGACCCGTCTTATTGTTGATCTCGAATTTTAACCTTTCGTCGGGAGCGGTCACGAAACTGTACGTAATGGTACCTGAAAATTCATGGTCCAGACATTGTCCGGATTAACGACTCGTTCTATGTTCGCTCTATGTTGAATTTCACCGCAGTTTCTTGTACAAAATAGTACACCTCTTTTCAATTTTATTAATTTATAAATATAGAAAAATGTTTTCGTTCATCATATCTCGTTTTAATTTAATTAACCTCTATATCTTTTTTAATTAAATTTAAGAGTCCTATATTTAATTTCAATCAATTATAATTTCATAATATTTAGAAGAAAGATTTTATTTTATTTTAAAATTAAACCTTAAATCCATAAAATTAATATTCTCGTTTTTCTAATTGCTGTGCTAATTTTTCCTATTAAAAGCAAATTTATCAAATAAATTATATATTATATACCACAATAAGATATAAGATAAGTTCGATTAATTTTACCATATGCATATAAATATTTTTTACTCGTGGTAAAAATATCAATCAGAGAAACTCTTCTAAAATACTATATTGTCTCACGATTACACGATTTTCAGGGTAAGTTGTACGAGAAAATTCTCACGGCGCGCGTAATTAAAAAAATAAGCTCAAATGCGAGGCAGATGTGTCTAAAAGACTCGGTTCTCACTTATACCGATTCAAAGTTATAAAACTTTGAGTGGCTCGTAAAAAAAAGAAAGAGAAAGTTGGCTCTATTTAACTACGCGCATAATTTATAACGACATTTTCTATACACTATTACATTAGTTATATCGTTGATGACGTCTGCGCGTGCATTATTGTATACAGTACCTCCTTCGTCCGGCGGATCTTTATCTTCGGCGTGCACCTGGATCACCACGGTGCCGGGCGATTCCTCCTCCTTCACTACGGGTGCATAATTCGAGCAATTGGAGAACACCGGCTTGTGGTTGTGATTCTCATCGAGCTGAAAGCGCAAGAGAAACGGACGGCTATTAGCACGGGTGTTAGCGAAGGGTATATAAGGGAGGAAAAGGGAAAGGGCAACCCTCCGAAAGATATGTCCGGGGGATTAATCGGTAAAGTTGAGCGCGGGATTGGAGGAGGAAAGAGCGACTTTGGAGAACAAGGCACTCGATAAATCAAAGCGCTCCTCATAAACCAAGCGCCATTAATCACGGCGCGGACTCCGCGAGCGGTATATTATGTCGCGTTTCTCCTCATAAAAGATCCAATAGTCGGAGAGGGTGCGATGCAGGTATATAAGAAAAGAAGAGGGAGAGAAAAAAAATCGGGGCGCCATATAACCCGGCGCTTCGTAATAATCATGCACGTTGGTGATCTAGAACATGTGGCAAGGTTACTCAAGTTCCGCGGCTTTGCACAACGTTACGCGGTCTGTTGCGTTTTATGGTACGAGCCATATTCTCATAAATTATGACCGCTACTGCCCTCGTATGCGCTATACATCGTACCCGTGTGTTACCATTTCATCGCGATTAAGGATCGATCCAACGACGTTTAACATACGTAATGTATGATTGATCGACGTCGTATTTAACTTTGGAACGAAGATATAAATAATATAGGTATATATATCCCTTGCACTGAATGAGCGATAAGAATATATGCGACCGTAAAATTTACACCAATCGACGTGGAAAATTGTAGTCAGACGTTATAATAATATATATCTATGTAGCGTCCAAATTTTCATGCCTTCTGACTTTGATAAGCACGCTCCAATTCGCGCTTAACGCGCTAAAGTACATGGGTGACGCTTATAATAATACCGGGAAACACACACACACACACACACTCTCTCTCTGTTTCTCTCCCTAGATAGTTATCTTCGATGTAATTAAATGCTCGCGACATTAATATTCATTACTATTTTCTGTCCCCGCGAGGTAACGATATTCTCAGGTAAACAACATTTGGTAAGAAATATAATCCGCGTGTGCTCTCTCGCTGCGTTTGCTAAATTTTACAGCGAGACACACGCCGCCTCTAGCATCTGGCAAACCCATCAGACCGCTTAGAATTTCGCGCTTGCACTTTGCCTAGGTCATATGTTACCTCGATATAGCACCGGAGCTCGCTTCGCTCTCTCGTACTTTCCGGCCTCATTAACGATAAACAAGTTAGCCGTGTGTTTTAGCATATTAACTCCGTTATGCGTTATCCGCGGTTGATTCGTGCAGACTTATTCGGAGGAACGTCCCTCCGTCAATTGGAATTCGTAATCGCTTCATCACCGAGATCCCGAGAGAAAATGACGAGGAAAAAAAAGCTCTCGCGAATGAGAGAAAATTATCGCGAGTACGTCCACGTCGTCGAGGTTCGCTATTTCGATCAGAGAACTAGCGATGGAATTAAATATCTTGCAAGTAGAATTTATTTGCATGTTTTCGGACTCTTTCATTATTTTAAGAAAAGAAACTCGGACTACTTTCAAAGGACTTGAACCTAGATCAAATGTCTTCGTATCTTTGATTATATACACTATTTAATATTAATTTAAATTATTCATTTAATTTAATTAAATATATATAATATGATAATTTAATTAAATATATTCAATATTACTTCTTGCGACTCTTGGAAAATGAAACTTGATTATTGGATTCGGTTTTTTAAATACATATTGAATTTGATCTTATATCTAGAGAAGACTAGTGAAGGCGAATGTGCGCGTCTATCGAATTAATTATCAATGTTCTATTTAACGTTGGCATAAGTACTTGAATAAAACCGGTGTCATAAATCGAACGAGAAAACAAATAGCTGTAGTACTCGAATAAATGACCTCTTCTCTCTATGAGATACTTTGCGCCGAGTTTTAAAGCAATGATACACGTAGCGCGGTCGCGAGATACACTCTCGGCTGTTAATTAATATTAAAGGCGAAAAAGCTTTCGTAACTTGCGAATTGCTCACGGCGTCTTTTCGCAACAATTAATATGCGCAAAAGACTAACGAGCTTCGCCGCGATTACCATCTCCAATTCACGGTAGGAAGCTTATATCAAGGGTAAGCAAATTAATGAAATTTGACTCTTTAAAGGGAGCGAGAGTATTAAACGTTGTCCCATTAATGTAATGCATATCCATAGGAAAATTGTGTTTTATTAATGATAGCAAAAGAAAATGACTTCTTTAAAAACAAGTTTTATCAGAACTAAATAAATTGATGAGATGTCTTGTTTGTAAAAAAAAAAATAGAAGATATATTATATATACCTATCTTTTTTACATTTTTTGAAAATTGTTAGGAAATATTATTTATTTGTATTTCATGCGTCGCACATAATCTTTTAATTTAAAATATATATGTATATATATTTAAAAATATTAAATATATATGTATACCTATATTTAAAATTAATGGATTATGTACGACGAATTAAATATAAATAAATAACTAGTTTTCTAACAATTTTCAAAAAAATTGTAAAAGAAATTTATTTAAATTAAATAAATTATGATAACAAAAAATTAGTATTTATATAACCAACTGCACTATTGAATTATTAATATAAACAGTATGATCATATTTTTCTCTCGCTGTATTATTTTTTGCGTATAAAATATATAAAATCGTTTCCATTAATTTATACATTAAAATAATTCTACAATGAATGTGGAAATTCTACATTTAATTAAAACGTCATTCGTTATACTTTATTTCCGCAGCTATAATAGATCTAATAAAGGTTCAATTATTAAAATATTTATATATATTTATTAGTACGGCAACTAGGACGGTGTCACGTGCAAGCTTCAGAGGATGCAATCAAGACAATTAAAATAAATGTTTGAAACAAAAATGAAAAAAATTTGTAAAAAAAAAATATATTTACTTGCAGCAAATATCTCTGTTTTTTTAGTTCAAAAGTTCATTTTTTTATTATAAGTAATTAGAGGAGAGTTCGATGCAAAATGAGTTTGCATCAAACGCAGTGCAAACTACCGATATTTAAATACGTTATATCCATATTTATATAATATTGTACCAAGAAAGATTATCCAATGTATATTGCGCAAGAGGATTATATCTTAATTAGGACGAGCTTCGGTATTATATCCGTCTACATCGCGAAGATTAGGTCTCAAACAATGTCAGTAGCCCAATTATCGGTATTCGGCGAAGCGACAATTTCATTCGATTGCCGTTGGTCCAAGTTCTACGTATAAACGAATCATGCGCAGAAGATGGCCCCTCTGCAATTCACCAATTCGCGATTCGCGTTCCTAAATATCCTACGCTCCGCCGAGCAAACTTCGGCGTAATGTCAAGGATTTACGAGCGATTCGTAAGCAAGTCTCAGGGGCCGCCAACCAAGCACTTCTCACGGAAGTGTCTCACCGAAGTGAACGTATGGGCGCGAGTAATGGAACGCGCATCTATTCATCGAATCACGAGTGATTTCGCCCGTCTGCAGCGTATCGTTTATGCATGACCTACGAATCGGAATGTGAGGCATGTGTTTGCCTCACCTCGGCGAGGCTGTTTATTTATGTTTTAACAGCGACGAAAAAATATCTGCAGGCCGCAGGAAATCGCTTAACCGATCTGTCAATGAATGGATATCCAGGTAGCAACTTTAAATGTTAAAAATGTGTACGGAATTTTTTTTCCGCTCGAGATCAAAGATAAAAAGACCTTTGTATTCGGAAATAAACCCTTTCTAAAAATATAACGGGGGAAAAAAATGTTTGATGCCCAGCAGCTGCTATAACAAAAATTGGCACAGTGCAAATATGTCGAAAACGCAGTTTTGGGTACCAATTCATTGAAAAATTATACATTGTCAGAAGGATTAAATACCTAACACAATATAAAAACACAAACAATAAGAACAGGAAATAAAAATACGGGATAAAAATTTATGTAATACTGAAACAACGATTATTCTGCAACAAGAATGTTATTCAATCATCTGCTTCTCTGCTTGTGCACCCGTCCTAGAAAATAAAATTGAATCACAGTGATTGGTCAAGTACAGGCAATAAAGAACAGAACCCAACACGTCGGAAATTCTGTTCCTATTGCCTATTCTATATTCCATTGTGCGTTGATACAGTTTTCTTGGTAATTTGAAATGTGGTTATTTCTGTAGTTATTTGATGTTATTTTCCTGTTCCTATATTGTCTGTATCTGATATTTTTGTATTGTGCGATACTTATTTTCATTTTAATCTTTGCGTTGATTAACGGATATGCGGATACTCAAAACAACTTTAAATATTAAAAATATGTCGGAACTTTTTTCCGCCCCAAAAAATACAAAGGGTCTTTCTATATATTCGGAAACTTTTACAATTTAACGGGAAAGAATATTCGATGCTCAATAGTTGCTACAAAAAAAATTGTTGCAGTGCAATGTGTCGAAAAACGCAGTTGTACTGTGAAAAATATGTAAAATTACATAAATAATGAATGTGAAATTACACGATAAATAATGAAAATGTATTTATTTTCATTATTATATCGTCCGATTTTACACTTATAATTTAATGTAACTTTGCATATTTTTTTACAATGTAGTACCTGGATATGCATACATTAATAAAAAGTTGAAACATAATGCATTGACACAAGGATTAAGCTTGATCCAATATTATTTCATGGATATTTAAGAGTTCCGAAAATGTCGTGATAAAGAAAGTTTATCCCGTTTATAAACCTAACGCAGTATTTTTTCTTCTGTCAGAACAAAAATGATAAATCCGGAATATAGGTACATAATTCAAATTACATTGTCATAGTAATCAGATTGAAGTTTTCATTGAAATGATTAATTGCAAGAAATACAGAGAAATAAGACGACATTTTCTCGTCATTTCGCGATCACGACTTTATATATATTGAACGGGACAACAATGGACCCGTTGATGTCACGTAAAACCGACGCGATGATGCGCGCGCGGTAAATATTTAATCGTTCGGAAGATTAGCGATGAAAGAGAAGGAGGACAAATCCATTATACACGCGGTGGAAGGATGGTTTATACGACGAGATCTCGGTATATCATCCCCCGTAAAAGGAATCCCGGACTTGACGTCTGAGACAGAAGGAAAGAAGTGTAAGCGGTGTAGGAAGTTGTGGAGAGAAGATGAGAAGTAGGGATGAGAAATCGAATCAAGAATGAATCGAGAAGCACTCACCGGTAATTCTTCCTCGCTCAGAAACTGCGATCTCACGTCCAGGTGTCTCGAGTGCCTCAATCTCGTTGCAGTCGCTGTAACATAAAGAAAGAATGGGGGTTGATGATATCGTCCATTTGCGATATTGCGTTCGATAGGCACGAATTTGCTGAGAGAGTCTCTCGTTCGAATCCAAGGAGATAACGCGTTACGAGTGACACAGTTTCATTTATAAAAAGAATTTGATGAAAATTCAGAATGGCTCGCTTGAAAAAAAAAAAAAAAAAAAATATATATATATATATAAAAATAAAAAAAAAATATTGCAACAAGATACGCGAAAAGTTCAAATATTCGTGTCCACCTTTACGTATATTCTCGTTGAATATATAGTTATGTGCGTTGAATAGAGAGGAAAAACAATATTTAACATTATATATTATATTGAAATGTTTCTCTCGCAAATGTTGAATTTATAATATTTAAGATGAAGATTACTCTTGCGTTAAATACTCCGCTTAATAATTATTTCAGCTCCCGTTTATTCCTCGCCCTCTGTATTTTTGGACGTACGTGAATTTTCTCTCTACGCGTTTTATATATAAACGTTATTTAAAATGTTAAGCATTCCCACGATACGCATTTTTACATGAGATTTAACTTTTAAAAATGTGACAATCGCGAGAATACGCGTGTAAAATGGTTCAACGAAACGATTATATATATTTATATATATATATACATATATTTTCATGAGAAAATGAATATAACTTTTGCAATTTGGGACAATTTTAATTAAATTTACAACTACTAAATATAATATTAAATTAGAAATTGTACACATATCTCGAGGCGAAACCTTGCCATAAGGATCTTTATGCATCATTCACAATATAGATATATTCTACCAACAAGAGCGAAGAATTCAAGTTTAAATTAACTGCTTATGCTACTTCAAAACTATTCGTAAGTTAAACAAAGTAGGCATTGCTAATGTGGCATTAGAGTTTCTTTAAGTTAATGCACAAAGACGCGAAGTCGGCAAAGTAGCTATACAGAGAAGAAAATACAGGCTCCAAGAATATGCAAAGGTATTACGTTATAAGAGGCTCGCTCGTTAGCAACTGTCGTGTAAAAAATATGTGACGGAGAGCAAAAAAAATATTCGTAATTTTTGTAATTCTAAATAAAATTGTCCCGTTGATATATAGATTTTTTGAATTTATTAAAATAATATTTTTCCTCACATATAATCTGCCCTCGATAAAATGTACGGGAGAGAAAGAGAGAAACTGGTCCCGATCGCGTTTGTTCCGCGAAATATTTGTCGTCGATATTTTCATATTACACGAAAATGTTTCGGTCTCTCTATTGTTATTAATGCTTTCGACTTTCCAACCACGCGACGGCGACGAAATGCTGTCATTCCAGTAGCTTGTGTGGCTCAGCCATACAATGCGGTTTACCCGCACTTAATGCGGGTTCTGTCCCGAATTTTAAGCAAATTTGTGCTGTCGTGAAAGCGATACCACCAGAATTGCATAAAATTCAACCAGACCAGTCACTCTCAGGGAACACGCCATCTCACTACGAAATACGGTGAAATAACGAAATAAATAAAACGTGACAAAATGAGAGGAAGCTGAAGAATATCTTCGACCGTAAATTGTTGGCACGGATTTTCCCCAACCTGCTCCGCGAATGCATTGAGTATTTTTTGCACCTTTTTTATTTTGTTTTTTCTATTTCTTTCTCTTGCTATTTTTTTATACGAACTGCTGGAAAAGTAAAAATAACATATACATATAATCGATACAATCGATCGGTTTGATGTTAATGATGTAGATTTATCGCGGCATGATTAATCATATTCTTTTTCTTCGAGAAAGAATCGATAAAAGATTCATCCTGATTAAAATACAACGTATAATAAGCGCATAATTATGCGCAACTCCTCGAATCCCTCCGTGAAATTCGATATAATTGAATTGAAAATCTCGCCCTTTTCCACTCTTGCGTTTCTGTCTTGAAATCATTTAGGATATCTGAAATCTCAGTCAATGTCACTCGAATTTATTATCACTCAAACTCAATGGAGCACACTATTCGTATAACCATAAATCGATCTGTTCTCTCAAACATTTCAATTGACACTTTAGCTACTATCTTGTTCCGCTCCAGTTGAAACACCTGTGTAGGAACTATCTGTATTTCTCTAAATTAGCTGTTGTGTTAAACACTTCTCTGTGCGACGACGATGCTCTCTTCCCTATAGAACATCTTCGACGAAGGGATCATCTCTTTTTAGACCAGTTTCTTTTTCGCGCCAGATCCACTAAAGATTTTTCCCGATATTACAGTTGCTCTCACGGCTTTATTTAAGCTTTATTAAAAAATTTTTATCAAAGTCACCCTCTCACGTTGTGTTTTAGCAACTTTCCAAACGAATCGGATAGTTCTATTTTTGCGAAATTATGAAAAATGCAAACACGGGATTACAACTTTTGCCTCCATTGATTTTATTCGCATTAAAGTATGCACGGATGCGAAATATAAATAAAAGACAAGTTTATACCTTTTTTGTGTGGGGGAGACCATTCGCTTTAACATTGCGTTCAAATTTCAGAAAAAAATTGAATCACCGTGTGATTCAATTAAAAAATTAGCATTCCTCGTTACAACAATGCAGCTGTATACTAACTTTTTGTTAAGTGAATCAATTCCGTTTAATCTATATATTCGAAAACTTTTCAAAATAGTTATCTGATCGAGCGAAGAAATAAATTAAGTATGCAATTTTCCTCCCTTATAGAAACACCACAAATATTTAATGTGCATATTTAATGTACATATTTGATGCGCATAAGTTATTATAAGAATCCTTATGATTATTTGATTACACACTTTAGAAAAAGAACTGTAAGTCTCGACTCAAATCACAAAAGAGCAGACGCGGGATTAAGAAATACTCGCGATCGTAAGTCCAACTTAAGAAAAAGCAGATGACACTAAGCGTCAAGGTAGCACGAGATAAGAGAAGTGACACGAGACCCATTCGTTCGCAAGAAAAAGATTCTTCGCAAGAGAAAGAGAGGGAGACTTCGCGCTTGACTCACATTAGGAAGGGAATTCGTGTCAGAGCCGTCCTATATTCCATTTTGTGCCCAAAGAGACTCGACGACATTTATGTCACAAGCTGAAACCCGGGTACGTTATAGCGCATCGCGGATGGAGTCCGCCGTGTTCCGTATCAAAACCATTTATCGAAACTATCAGCGAGCGAGATTTATTGAATCCGACCGCACCGTTCCTCGTCCTCCAACCCTGCTCCGATTTTTCCGGAGGTGGCAACGCTCTCTAATCCGTACGAAAAAAAAAAAAAAAAAAAAAAACTCACGAAAACTCTCTCTCTCTCGCTCTTTATGTAGAGGCACTACTGTATAACTGTCCGATTTCGTCACGCGGGGATCAAATCTTTTTTTTTTTTTTTCTCGTTTGTTTTTCTTTCCACTCGTCGACGTCGAGTAAATGAGAAGTTGATCGCGCTCGCACTTTGATAATTGTTCTTCGATGATCGATCAGTCGCGCGCGCCACGTCAGCTGGAAATTATGAGAACACGTCGGCCGGTTTATTTAACGCTCATGAATTCGCGAAACTTTATAGAGATACTCGGCAGATACGCGGCGCATATAATTAATTTGCTGAAACGACGCTAACAAATTTCTCGACGATGTATTTTAATTAGAAAAATTAATTAGAAATTTCGCGCGTGCGCGCTTTATCGTTCTATTCATTTCATTCCTTCCACCCACTGACTTCCGCAAATGTGATAAAGACTATGCCAAATCCGAGTGGCACGAGCAGTTATGTAAATAGCAGCCGCGTGTGAGATAAGTTTAAACCCTCCAACCCCCCAGAATAAAATCGGTTCAATCCGCCCTTATCGCGTCGGCGCGCTTTCGACAGTAAAATTTTGCCTTTCTTTTTTTTTTTTTCGTGGACTAGAGTACACGTGAGCGACGATATCCCGGTACATGAACTGCGAAAATTATTAATCCTCATTTCGCTAAGTGCAGCACCGTTCAGAGAGATAGAGAGAGAGAGAGCGCGTTATATTTGTGCCGCTTAAGCAGACTCCTCCTGCCGGTTATTCCGCTAATACCGAAATCGCGTTTCAGCGAAAACATAGGCGCCTAAACACGGTATAATATATAAGTATATATATACGCTCGCGGATAATCTTTATAATTTTTCGCGCGTTTATTTCCGCGCGCGCCAGAGAACGCGCGATAAAGCGCGCCATTAACTTATATATACCTAATTAGGTTAAAACATTTTCCGAATTTATCGTCTTTTTCTCCCCCGGCTTATTGTAGGAACACGACGACCGTCTGCAACCCATAAATCCACTGATTTCGCGCCATACATGCGCGCCATCGAAAATTTGTCGGGAGAAAGAGGTAGAAGAAAAAAAAAAATTATGAAAATGTGCGGATTTTTCCTCCCGGATTTGCCCCAAAACAGCGTGGATTGGCCAGTCGTGCCGTCGACAACGAATCGATCCTCTTCCTTCCACTCCCTCTCCAGAGAGATGCCATTTCCGGCATTATCGTCGGCGCGGCGTTATCACGGCGACGTCATCGGAAAAGCGTCAACTGTAAAAGGATTCGCATCGGCCCGGGAGTCGTTTCGCATTTTCATATCTGACTCGCGGACATCGGCGCGCATGCGCGATATTTCCCGCGGCGGGAAATCCCCTGATAAGCGATCTCGCGCGGAGACACACGCGAAAAAGCGAAATACGATTTTATTTCCGATACCATCGATGCTCTCATTACTCGAAACGGAGCCAATTATATTTCCATTGTTTTTGTTTCGGTTCTTTTTTTAAAAGCGTAATCGCGCGCGGTCGTTTGTTGTGCCCTCCCTCCTTTTTCCGCGCGAATTTAAAGAGGGATTAAAAATTGACTGGCCGCGTTGCGATTGTATCGGGCAGGGAAAAAATAAACGAGAAAAAAAAACTTTCGCGATAACGCCGGAAATGTCGAAGTTTCGCGAATCGTGATCAACATCTTGGATGGTCGAGCTTAATTG